TACCTTTTTTTTTCGTGACGAATTTTTTTTTTTGCGCTTTTTTTTAGTGGTTGATAGCTGATAGTTTAATAGTTGATAACTTTTTTTCAGACACGGTTCAACCTATTGTTGGAGTCACTCGGTATGTCCATCATACACTGCCTGCATTGAATCTCAATGCTGCAAAACTGCCCGTAAGTTTTATCCTAACTTTCTTCGTGATTTTTTTTGTTAGGATTCTGTCTATAGCGTGTTCTTCCAAAGCATTTTAAGCTTAGCGACTGGTCAACGGTTTGCTAAGCTTTACATACTACTTTTTTCTACTTTACCTTACAATTTGCTTATTCTGTCTTCTCTTTTTAACAGTCTATTCTGAAATGATCTCATCCTGTATTGCAGTCTTTTTTGTCTATAAAATGCTCATTAATAGTTGACAGATACTCTAAGGTACAAGTGTTTACTTTTGAGTAGTCTTTGGCATATAAATATATGCATGCCTAAAATTTGTTTAATTTCTAAAGCTTTGTAATTTATAAAAAGCAAAAACAAAAAAAAGCACTTCATCAAATAGTACAGTTACATAGAAAAAAATATGATGAAAGATAAGACAAAAAAAAATTTTTTGCAAAAAAGGATTCTTAAAAACACTTGAAAAGTAGTATCAACAAACTTTTAAATTTATTTGTTTGCCCGGCTAGTCAGTTGTTGTAATTAGCATAATGAAAACAAAGCTTCTCGGGTTAGCGTGTTGACGCTGTTTTAAACTATGTGTAGTTCTGAAAATTTTTCAAAATTATTCTTTACATCAAGTGCTGTAATGTTTGGGAAAAGCGGTAGCTGAAGGATCAGAGGAGAAAAGACAAAAGGTAAAAATGGAGCAAAGGAGAAGCAGATGACAGACTTTAAGAAACTTCTAAAGAATCGGTGGATTTAGCGACAAGCATTCAAGACGAGTACTCAGTAGTAGTTAACTCAAACTAGATTTTTTTTAATTGTCTAAGAGATAGCAAACGTTCCGTATAAAAATTCTGGGGATCAAGTCAGGTTGCATTAGCGACTTTAGAATAGTAAACGAGTTATCGTTGTTCTTTCAGGACAGTGCTTAGTTAGCATTTAGCATGGTTTGGCTCACAGAAAACAAAAGTACCTCTAGTGTTATTTTTCAATACTTCATTTCTTCAATTT